ATATACATATATATATATATATATATATATACATCTATATATATATATATGTATGTATATGTATGTATATGTATGTATATGTATGTATATGTATGTATATGTATGTATATGTATGTATATGTATGTATATGTATGTATATGTATGTATATATATATGTATGTATGTATATATACATACACACATATAGATATATATATATATCTATGTGTATGTGTATATATACATACATTAAACTTGAATCTTATAAAAATGTCTATATTTATAAAAAAAATATTAAGACATAGCTTGATCATAAACTCAATACAAAAAATTTTATATCTTGATAAGAAGTCTTACTATTTAATTCTAGATTGAAATTATTTTCTTTGAAGCTAATGTCAAGATAGTCAAGATTATTCAGTGCAATAAATGTGTATCAATATGGGACAGTAGATATTCAAGATAGTAACATTTCACACTTTTTTAAAGTTAATGTCAAAGGAATATTTTAATTTGATTTATCTCAATTAAATATAGCTTGACACAATCAGACTGGGGACATTAAACAATGCACTTATTGAGAGACAACTCAATATATCTTACTTTATGTTTATTTACTTGATTGTGTGCTTGGGTGTGAGTTCATACAAAAAAAATTAAAAATATTTTAAAGTGAATGTGTGTGTGTGTTTCATTGCAACACCACAACACTATTCTTTAGCATTTTGACACTATTCCCTCTATTATGTGATTTTTTGTATTGTGTGAGCTCATCAACAGTGTATGAACTGGTGACTCAATCATGCATTCAATAACGTGACAATGCTATCAACAATAAAGGGTTATTGAGAGTGCTTAATTATCATATGATGTATATATGATTTACACCTATGTGACAGTGTTTTGATGTAAGCCTTAACATAATCCATTTGGCATGTTACTAGGTTTTGAAGACATTAGGATTCTCAAAGTGCTATTTCCAACACAAGGATAATAGATCTAAAAATTATGGACTATTTTGAAAAGTTTTCCTTCAAAAGACATTTCTTAAATGTCTTTATGAATTAATTGCAATAACATGCCACATTTTCTCACAATTGCTTCCCTGGAAAAATCATTATAGAAGATTTTTTGGGCCCAAAATAAAATGTAGCTAATTTAGGCCCATATAGATGGATCATAAAAATAATGAAATTTATTTTAATAAATATAATACAGTGATAAATTAATTTTTGAAACAAAGATTAAAAAACTCAACAAATATATGTAGTTAATACTAATTAAGTAAGAGCTTCCACAAAAGTAAATTTAAAAAAAAAATTAAAGGACCATTCCTATGTATTTACATATCTGACACCTAAATATCCAAATTTAAATGCGCATCATTCAACTAGTTAATATCACATCAAAAATATCACAATTATATCTTTTTAAAAAATAAAATATACATTTACATGCATATATTTATGACATCAAAACGGTGTAAGTGTAAATTTAAAAAATTGGGTGTTGGACATGTAAGTAAATGAGAATTGTACGGTATGCACGTAAAACTCTCAAAGTTATATAGTATTGATTATCTTCATGCATATCTTACAGCTTTGGATATTGTTTATTCAAGAGGTTTGAATTTTAATCATACTCGTGTTTTATGTAACAATGGCTCTGAATCTCATGATCACCTCGTTTTTGAATGCCCTTATTCTCGTCCCCTTATTAACAATTGTTTAATTAAAGGTGAGTTTTTCATGGCTCCTTCTAATGTGTTCAAATGTATTTATCATGCGGATAATTTTTCTTGTAAAATTTCTAAGGGATTTTATTTTTTAACATTACAAGTTGTTTCCTATATGATTTGATTTGAAAGGAATTTTAAGATTTTTAAAAACATCTCTAATTCTATTAATTTTAATAAGCAATATATTCATTAGTTAATTGGTTATAAATGTAGGAAATTGAAATTTAAGAATGCTATTCTTGATTCTATTATTCGCTTTCATAATATATAGGTGTTATTTTGTATTGTTCACTCAGATTTAGTCTTTGCTTTTTGGTGGCTGATGAGTTTGGTTTATTTTTTATGGCTGACGGTTTTGCTTGACTTCAATTATTTTTTCGTCTTTTAACTGTTTGTGTAGTTTCTGATTTATTCAATTCTACTTTATCTGATCTTTCGTGAGTATTTTAGATGTCATATTGGGCATTGGTATTTTAGTGATGTTTGCTCTTGTATTTTTTTTCTTTTGGTTTATAGATTTCTGGTTGAGCTCGTGAGTTTCTTTTTGATAGAATTTTTTATTTTTGATTTTGTCTTTTTTGGTGGTTGATTTTGATTTTATGTATGTTTGATATTTTAACTGATATTTCAGATACTTTCTAGCCCTTTACATTAGTAGGCCTTGTTTTAGGTTTAGCAACTCTTTTGTTATATTTCCTTACATTTAAATCTAGATGGGAACTTGGTTTCAACCATTTATTTTTAAGGATTTATGCTAAGGTATTGTTTCTTTAGTTTCTGTTTGAATTTATGTTCTTTTCCTATTTTTGCTCTGGATTATTTTATTTGTAGTATTCATTTATTTAATAAAGCTAGGCTAGGCCCTCACTATCTCTCACAAAAAAACAAAGAAAGAGGAATTACACGAGCCGAGCATTTAGGGCTGGGACTTGGGGTGTAAAGGAGTCGAACACGACCGAACTCGCCCCAGCTCGTGTTCTGCTCGTTAAAAAATATCACTGTTCTTGTTTCGCTCGTTTATATTTTGAACAAAAAAAAATTGTTCATGTTCGGCTCGCTATGAACTCTTTTGTTTAGCGAGCCGAACACGAGCTCTTTGCGAATAAATAATTATTTTGCAGCTATAGTAATGCTGCCAATAGGGGTGTAAACGAGCTGAGTTTAAGAGAGTCAACGCTTGACTCACGTTCGGCTCGTTAAAAAATATCATTGTTTGTGTTTGACTCATTTATATATCGAGCTCAAAAAAATTGTTAATGTTTGACTCGTAGATGTTAAGATTAGGGCGAGATTTAAATCTTATTATTTATATTAAAATATTCATTTAAATAGAATATTATATATTTTTATCTATTTTAATTAGTAATTTTAATTAATTATAATTTTTTGTAGCCTTGTAGTCAATTAAATTATTTAAAAATAATACTCATTATTTATATTCATATAAAAAAATTAATCATTTTGAGCTAGAACAAGCCAAACACGAGCGATCAAATCATTTTGCGTGTTCGGCTCGTTTATACATCAAGCATAAACAAAATGTTTGTTTTCGGCGCATTTACTTAAGGAATGAATCAAACACGAACTATTTAAAAAACTAAACACGAACTGTTTGGCAACGAAGAGCCGTTTTGACTACTCCTACTCAGACTTTCGAGGCAGAAGTGTTTCGTTTCTGCTCTGACTCATTTATACATGAAGCGTAAAAGAAATGTTTATGTTTAATTCATTTATTTAACGAATGAATTAAACCCGAGCTATTTAAGAATTAAACCCGAGCTATTTTGAGGCTTAGAAACAAAGAGCCGTTTTGACAGCTCAAACTCAGACTCAGGGGCAAAAGTGTAATACCCAAACGAACACATGCAGGCCCACATTCTTCGTATAAAAATTGGGGACATACATGAAAGACGCGCTTCGCAGGAGCTCCTAGCGGGAGCGACCGTAGAAACCACGCCATATAGAGCAGCGAGAAGGCAGGAGAGGGAGAGGGAGAGGAGGGAGAGGGAGAGAAAGCGGCCCTCGTGCTGCGCTCGGATCTTCGGATCATCTTTTTGGAAAAATGTATTGGTGACTGCTAACCCTAGTTTACCTCCGCCGGTCCGAAACCCTAATCCCGTCTCCAGAGACCTCCGTCCCCTCCAATTGAAATCCTAACCCTAGCTTGCCGATGGCCTCTGCAGTGGATCCTACCTCCTCTCCCCGCTCTGCTCGGCCAGCCCGCAATTTATCCGCCTCCTGGTCGCATGTCGCCGCCGCCGCCGCTCCTTCCGCGTCGTTGGCCGACCCGATTTCTTTGCGGGATTCATCGGAACGATCGGTGCAGAAGTTACCTCTAGATTCGCCTTCGCCGCCGCCGCCGCCTGAGAGCCCCGATCATGTCATTGATGGCAATGCCGTCGCCGCCGCCAGGGGTAAGAAAACTGTCTGGAACGTGCCATCTAATGGCTCGACCGAAGGGGGAGCCGTCATGGACGCACTCTGCTGGCCTGCGCTCTCTGAGTCCGCTAGGGCTTCTCCGAAATCTTCATCTTCGGATTCTCTGAAGGGCCTCCCCGATGGTTCAGTGTCTGTTCATCCGGTGAGATCTCGAAATTTTATTTATTTTTTGCAAACAAATTTGAACTATGTTTTATGTGTTGTACCAGGGACCTGTTTCTCCAACCTCGAAGCCAGCTTCTAGTACTCCAATCCCTAGTCTAACTTCAAGCCCCTCATCTTCTTCTCGCCATAAAACCATGAAACATGTGGCTACAAATGCTGTTAGTGATGCTAGCAGCAACAGTGGCGGAATGCCTAACGGTGGATTGGCTACGCCATCCCCTGCACCAACCTTATCACAGATAAGCCAGCCAATGCCTGACAGACAACCTTCTCCCAAGGGGCTTACTAACAAGAACAACAACAACAACAATAACGGTTTGGATAACTCATCGAGGACTGCTGGAACTTCTCACCAAACCCACGGAGGGAATGATCAGCACCGGGGCTATGGCGGTGGCAGGCGGGGGAATAATGGTCAGTATAACAGCTATGGTAATAGGAGGGATCCTGAGCGTGGGGGTTATGAGTGGAATCATCGGAATTTTGTTAGAGATGTCCCCATGCAACAGCTGCATCCTCAGTGGGGTGTTCGGTCCTACTCAAGGCCTCCACCAGTTGCAGCTCAGCTAATTGCCCCACCTCCACCGCCCAGGCCTTTCAGTCACAATATGGGATTTCATGGTATTTCTCAAATCCATTAAGCTGGCCCTGACATCCATATTGTCTTTTTTTTGAACTTTTAGTCCTTGATCCCATGAACAGACATGTCACCTGCTGTTTATTATGTACCGGCCCCTCCACATCCTGACTCCCTGAGAGGTTTACCGTTTGCTCCAGTTCCAGCTCCAGTTCCAGCTCCACCGGTGATGTTTATTCCTGCACCAGATCCTCAGCGTGCTATGCTGCTGAAGCAAATTGATTACTACTTCAGGTGCGAGTCTGTTTGATTTACTTTTTGTGACCCTTACTGATATAAATGTACCAAATCTCTACTGTTATTGATGCAGCCCTGAAAACTTATGTAAAGACACATATTTGAGGAGTTATATGGATGAACAAGGCTGGGTTCATATATCCCTGATAGCTGACTTCAATAGAGTGAGCTGATCTAATCTGTGTTTAAATTTTATTGACAAACTGCTTAAATTTATGAATGAATTCTGATTCATTGATAGCTTTGCATACATAAATTATTTAGGTTATCAAGGCAGAAGTTATTAAGGACAACAAGTTTTCCTTTATGTCATGGAGTTTACTTTATTTTCAAGTTCATTATATTTGTTACATATAACTGTCATATTATTTCTTTATCATATGAAATCTTGCTTTGATTTTGTTCTGCTCTGGTTTTTTCCATGTATTATTATGGTTTGATACTTTTTCCTGTTATTTTCTCTAACGACTTCATGCTTAAATTGGAGTGCAATAACTATTTATCATAATTGGTGTTTTTTGTTTTAGATCATTACTTCTTCTCCAGTATTTTGATTGAGTGGGGCGTGTGTGTAGGGCTGTCAATTTGACTCGTTGTTCGTGCACAACTCGTTAAGTAGCTTGTGTTCAACTCGTTTGTTGAGCCTAACGAGCCGAACACGAACAAATTTTTAAGCTCAAAATGTAAACGAGCCGAACACGAACAACAGCCTGTTAATATAACTTTTTACATAACAATATATTACATATATTATTTAAATAATAATATATTATATATATTTATGTTTAAGTTTAAAGCATAACACCTCATGTGGCAATGTGGTTAGTCTTTTGTATATATTTGATCCAGGTTCGAATCCCTAATATACCTAGTGCAGTTTGTAATTTTTTGTTTTTATTTTATGCTTCAACTCCTCAGGCAAATGGGAACACACTGTTCACGAATCGATTTCGAACACGCGTTATTTCGAACGAGCCGAACACGAGCTCGCTCAAGCCCCCCCCGCCCCCACGCGCGCGGGTGGGTGGTGTGTGGGTGGGGGGGGGGGGGGGGGGGGGGGGGGTGGAGTGGTCGTTTGAAGTTGATTTGCATTTTTTTATTTTTTAGTTGCATAATGTTTTGTAAAATCTTTGTATTGGCAACCATTTTGGCAAAATTGATATGAATTTGAAATTTGTGAGCATTTATATTAGAAGTCAAAACTATTATGTTCATTATAGATAAGTAGTTCATTCTAGTGTTTGATAATGAATGCCTGCTTTTCATGGGAAAGCAATTACTTGAGCTTTATTTTCTTTTGCTGAACTGTTTGTGCTCCTTTTGGCACTCTAAGCCCCTTTGCTTCAGGACTGTTCGAGATGATTCATAACCTCTTCGCTCATAGGCCTCCAATGTCTATTCTCCAACTTATATCATTCCTTTAATTGTTTTGGCATTTCAATCTTTGATTCTTTATTCCCATTTAATTACCTAAAACTTCTGGTCTTCTAAAGTTTTCTAACCAATGAAGTTTTCAATCAAGCTTTATCATTTCTTACAATCATATATTGTTATAACACAAGCGTTTGTATTGTGATGCGAGTTATGTTTTTGGTGGTATTTGTCAACAATCAAATGCATAAATGTTTTAGGTTGGACCATTGATGTAACTTTTCCGTCGGATGAAGTATGATTATGTGCTGTTCTTTTGGATCTGTCCTACTAATTGTTTCATATTAGATTTCTCTTGATAGTTTATAGTTTTAGCTGCACTTATCATTCTTGTTTTTCTTGTAGTTTATCACTATCTTTCCTATGTTTTTTCTTCGACTTTTAATTTCTCTTTTTTATAGTTCATTTAAATTTTGAAATAGTAGTTGTTTTAATTTGATTTCTTTGATGCTTACTATAAATTAAAACTGCAATATTAAAGCGTCATTTTTGTAGCATATATATGCACCACATCTGATTTCTTCATAATGCTGATACCAAATTGTTGGGATATGGTGGCTAATGATGATGACAGTTCTGCCATGCATCTATATATGCAGTTTGCATGACAATCAGTTTATAGTATATTAACATACGAAATTTGTTTCCTTTTTTGTAGTACATTGTTTTGTTAACACCTTGAAACTTCGGTTTTAATATCGACAACCACACTATTTTGCTAGTTTGGTTATGTTGCCTGTTTTCCCACATGGTGGTCAGCATTGCCTTGTGCTTATTGCTTGACATTTGTTTTTGTAATCAGTTAATACACACTGTGTTGAGGGTAACCTATGAAGGGTGAAACCACTTATCATTGGCCAAAGTCAAATTGATTTGGCTGAGAAGTTGAACTGTACCTCTGATCGTCGACAGTTTGACATGGCCTATCTCTGGCTCCTACATATTGCTCAACTTTGCATTTCTTGTTTCTTAAATATTATAGGTTGTAAGTTAGACATACTAATATAAATGAACACTTGTAGCACTTATTGTGATGTGTACAATGAGAATAGTGAAGAGTGCACTGATTTAAAATGCAGAGTCATGTTAATTAGAAAACGAGATAGTTAGTTATATGCTGTTTTTTTCTTTTTAAGTTTAATATATCTGATTAGTAAAATCACTGCACTAAAAACATACATTTAATGAATGGGCATTTGATTTTTTTCATATATGCATAGTTTGCAGCATATATATGAGCTCTTTATCTTTTAACTTTCATTGACACTTTCATATTGGACATGTAACGTGCCCTGCATTATTAGAAAATTTATGCTTACACGTGGAGGGCACTCTTATGTGAGAAAGTAGCTTAGCTATTGGGGTTGCTCGCTAATCTAAAGTTTTTTTTTGCCTCTGACTACAAAAAAGTGGTTAAGAGTAGAATTCAAGTTGGCTGGTTGAAGTGGAGGAATTTTTCAGGCCCTTTGCGTGATAGAAAAGTACCGTTTAGATTGAAAGGAAAATTTTATAAGATGGTGGTGAGGACTGCGATGCTCTATGACTCTGAATGTTGGCCTTTAAAAGAGAAACATGATACTAAGTTAAGTGTTGCCGAGATGAGAATGATTAGGTGGGATGTACAAAATTAGAGAGACTCGTCTTAGATGGTTTGTTCACATTAAACTTCGACCATCTGATGATTCGATTAGGAGAGTGAATGCTTTAGATTCGACTTATGTTAAGAAAGGCTTAGGTAAACCTAGGAGACTTGGGCTTATTGTATTAAAATGATTTTAATTTATTAGAACTAAATGAAAATATGAAACTAAATAGGACTCAATGGAGAAAATGTCAATGGAGAAAATGGATTCATGATGGAGAAAATGGATTCATGTAGCCGACCCCACGTAGTGAGATTAAGGCTTTGGTGTTGACTACAGAAAAATGGTCTAACAAATTTCAACATTTGTTTTTTTCCTATTTTGTTCTAGTAGATTTGTCTCATTGCTTATCATTTTTGCACTTTATAGGATATTGAAGAGCCTTGCTACCTAGTCTAACTTATATTACTTAAGCTGATTATAGAATTTGAATTTTTATGCCTTGATGTGATGCTACACCAACTATATTTTCTGTAGTTAATGAATGAACCTAAGCATTTTGATGACAATTTTTTATGAAGTATGTGGTGTTATTATTTTTATGATGAATGGTTTTTTATTTTATTTTTAGTTTATTGGTTTAATTAAGGACAAATTTTTAAAGCCAACCTTATGACGAGGGTTATGTGACCTCATTATTTCAATCAATTTTTTAATAGTAAATGTTTTAAAATAAACTAAAATTTAAGGAAGCCCATCTATTTGGTTAATCATAAAAGCACATGATTTATCTTGGTGAGTTTTAGGCTATCTAGGTTTATTTTCTTTAAAGGGGTTTTCGCCCATATATACACTAATTATGTAGTATGTATGCAGTTCTTCAACATTTCATCATCTATCTCATGCCACTTGCTTGAATTGCATGCATTTTATTTTTACAGGATTTAGTTACAGCTCATTCATAGTATCCTTTGTTATGCATATTAGTACTTCAACATTTCATTATCTTTCTCATGCCATATGCATATTAATACTTCAACGTTTCATTTTCTTTCTCATGCCTCTTGCATGAGTTGCATGAGGACATCAATAAAAAATTACTATTAATTATGGTAGTTATAGGAAGTACGTGGAGTTTAAACTTGATGATGAAGTTGTGGCACAATTTAATTGATCAATATGAAACGATGAACCTTTAAGAAATTAAATGCAATAAGGGCAGAGTCATTTAAAATTTTGCCATGCTGTGGAAATAATTTCTACATATTTGAAATTCTAGAAAAGTATTTATATAAATTCAACTTAAATATATTAATATGATTTATTTCGTATCTTGTTGCCAATTAATTTCTCGAATTGTTTTCTTTTTCTATCGATTTTTTTTGAATCCACATCCACTTCTGCGAAAGAATCCCATGCAACTTAGTTTTAATGTTAGATACGTCTCTTAATGTTAGATGCGTCTCGATGCATTTTTTGAAGAATAAACATTTCATATTCAAACACAAGCTCATTTAGGGCTCTATTTTCAGCAGGCTTATAGTTAAACTAATTGTCTCAAAAAGATGAGCCCAAAAATACCAAAATTCATTTAATCTGATTGTAATCAAGCCTAGATCAATCCATTAAAGCACACATTTAGAGGTTTAATATCGCCAATTGAATGATCAAATGAACTGCAAATTTGACTTATTTATAGTCAAATTGAGTGTCTCGACGAGAGGAATCTAATGAGTTTAATATCACTCAATTTCGAGGTCATTAAGACACTCAAATTGTTAAAAATTCCCTATGATTGCGATAATTAATATAGAATGTCCGATCAAATTGTTGCAAAAGTTATTTGATAAAAGATCAATATGCCCCCCTACAGTCTATAAATAGACCTCATCTCTTTATCTGGAGTGGATGAATAACCCTTTTTTTATTGAAGATAGACGATAACTTTCGACTTCTGTAGTCGTTGACTATCGTCTACCAACGCCCGTTGTCCGCCGTCGATCACCTACCATCGTCCGCCGTCGATCACCTCCGATTATCATTGTTTAACGTTGTCGACCTTTTGCTGTTGGCGACCCATACTTGCAAATGTCGTATTCCAAATATGGTTGTAATATATAATACATGTATTGAAGACATGTCGATAACAT